TCTAGTTAGAGGTTCATGAGTCTAACAGCCTCAGGGTAGAAGCTGTTCCTCAGTCTAGTGGTTCTACACTTAATGCTCCTTAACCACCTTCCTGAGGGGAGCGGGGCAAAAAGTGTGTGTGCTGGGTGAGTGGGGTCCTTCATGATGCAGGTGGTGGTAGGTGTGTTTGTTCTTTCTGAAGTCCACAACCATCTTCTTCATCTTCTTCACATTTGAAGGTTATTCTCCTTGCACCAAAATGTATCTTCTTAATAAACATGCTACTATTTATTTAAATAAGCACAGCTAACAATTATTGCAGTTTATCTTTGCAATATAATAACATTGTGTACTTTATATAAAAAATATGGAAGAAATGGAATATTGTGATTTTTATTGTTTCCAAATATGATCAACATAACTGATGTTTCAGCACTTTGTTTCAGCTATGGCTGTGTTAAAGTGCTTTCTAAATAAAGTTGATGATGATGAACAGAGGGGATATGGTTATGGTGTTTAGTCCAGAAGTCCAGAGTGATCTTTGCACCAGTCACTTCACCATCCATCCCACTAAACTAAGCAACACTGGCACTGGACCAGACCTATTCTGCCCCTGACAGATAAATGGGGGTCAGTAGTTGGTTTGAACTGTGCTGTGGTGTATTTGTAGACGTACCAATGAGCAGAAAGTGACAGATCTGGGCTCTGTAGAACCTGCAGGTCACTACAGTCAGGATCAAACACACAGCATGAAACACCAAGAGCCCAATGAGCCAAGGCTCCGACCACTGCACCTGCAAACCACAAGAACACACAGTCCGTGTGGCAGCTAACGTTAAACTTAGCCTGTTAGCATGCCAAACCAGATAAAATAAAAATTAACTTACGGACGCAAGAAACGTCCATATCGACGTTATTCTTAAATTGCTGAATCCGTCGATGGGGACTGAGCTGATATTTTCTGTTTTCTGCTTCGACATGTTCAAAAGAAAAACACTGAACTGACCATTTAGCTTAGCTTTAGCGCAAACAGGACAGGAATGCGGAAGTAACTGGCTACTGACGTCATAACGACAGCCAATCATTTGCTTTTAAAGTAATAACACATTTAAAGTAGATTTAGTTTTTAATTTATTGAATGGAATTTCATTATGCATGTTTATTATTTATTTTTTTGTATTTTTTCCATTTAAAACTTAAAGCTAAAACAAGTTGTTTTGTGGTTCAAACCTGTAAATACTTTTTTTAAAACAACTAGTATTGTGACTCCACTCCAATAACCTTTAATCAACATAATATACAATTTAAATGGCACATTTATCATGTATTACAGCAAAAATAAAAAAGGTGAATTGTCTTCTTTTTAATTTTTTATTTTAAATAAATCTCATCCAGTTATTTTACATTACCAAACCATACCATATTACTTTCTTGTTTAAACTTTCCTACTTCTGAATCCCTTTAAAAGTCTTTATTCTCACTCAGCTGAAGATACATTGCATACACTTTTCACTGTAATCTGTTGGAACAGTAACATGCCCACATCCTCCCTCTACACATGCAAAGCCCAGTTAGATGTCTGCTTATAAACATTTTCAGTGTAGAAAATATAAATTATACGAGTCATTTTTTAACCCAATAATAGATAAAGCACTTTTCCGCTGCTGCTTTTTTCCATTAAAAAACATTTAGACATCAAAGAAAAACTTATCAAATGCATTTTTAACATTTTAACTCAATCTACTAACATACAGTAAAATAGTTTCATTGTACAGGTTTCAAAAAAACTTGAGCTGTATTCTGTACAAAAAGTTTTATATATTGTATTTTTTAAACACACAGCATTATAACAATGTACAAAGTCTTTGAGTCTCTGGTTGAAGACGAGATTGAGGGAAATCCATGCAGATAGCTCAAGTCTTGTCTCTGTCATAATAAAATTCAGGAGCAAAAGCAGCAGCCACTGTGATGGGAGTGGAGTAAGCCAAGGCAAAGTTGTGAAGGCCGAGCTTGAAACACTTCCAGGTGGTGCGAAGGGCCTTTCCAACATTCTGAAGGTAGAAGAACATATAATTAAATCACCTAAAGTTCTTCTTTCACAATCACAAGGATACAAATGATCATTTTTTTAATCATTTCATTTGTGTGAGCTGTGCTGAAAAAAACAGTTTCAGAGCACAATAGCAGCAGGAAGAAGAGAAGCCCACTTCTCCTCCTGCCTGAAACATCAACACAAATGTCCTGTGAGCACTATTGTCTGGTGTATCCTGAACAGGAAGACAGTGACTGGCTGCAGCAGAAACAGGAAGTCAAAGGACCCTACTCTTCAAACGCTCTGAAAACAAGTTCTGACTGTAAAATTAAAATTTGAGGCAGAAAATCTTTCATTTGATCTTGGGAAATGACATTTTAAATCTAGTGCGATAAAAGCTGCATATGCTACTTGTTCATCTGACCTTTCTTGGATATTTTACAGAGTTATGACAATTGACTGACAAGACGTCTGTCCGTGTCCAGTGAATGTTATAGCACTGGTAACCTGTTGCAACAGATGCTGGCTGAGATCACAATCGGATATTTCACTTAAAAAAAAAAAAAAAAGCATCACTGCTAATGCAGTTTAGCAGCATATACTGTATGAGATAACTTCTCTGTATGACAGCGATCAGCATATTTTTCTAAGTCATATAATATATTAACACAAATGTATTCACAAACGTCAAAGTGGGACAATGACTTAAAGCCCATTAACATTTTATAAAACAAAACAAAACAAAAATTCAGTTAAAAGATTATCAACCTCTACTCAAAATTTGAAGTCTAAATTTTTAAACTAATGAGGAAAAATGTGGCATGTGCAGCAACAGTGAAATAAACTACAGGATTCATAAAGAATAATTTTCTTTGTTAATTCATCATAATCCAATCATGAACTCTCAATTTGAACGTCTTTTCTTTTGTAAAACAATTTCTTAACATGATCAAATATAATGTAAATAAATGTTTGATTTTTATATTAAAAAACAATAAAAAAACACAGTACTTGCTTTAATTAATGCACACTTTTTTTTTAAAGGAAATAGCAAATTGTTTATTTAAAAAAATTTAGGTAGAGCAACAAAAAAAGATGTTCCTAAAACATATTTCTGTATTTCCATCTGCATTCATTCTGAAAGCTTAATGGTCAATGATTGTAAAGCTAAAGTGTATATAAAATGTAGGTGCAGGAGAAACGGATTTTATGTTCTTACATGATTCATTCCTTATCAGTCACAGGTGAGTTTGAACAATTCAGAGTAAAGACTGTGAAAATTATGAGAACAATGCCCCGTCACAGCATTTCTTCATTAAATAATTAACAAGGGCTGAGACGGACATACCAAGACACATTTGGTATACAAAAAGTAGTACATTTGAAGTTCATTATTGCAAGTAAACTTTAAGTTAAGTATATCAAGTATACTACACACCACGTACTTGTAGTGTACCAGAAAGTATACTGATTTAATACTTGTTCAAGCTAAATTGGGACATTTTTAGTTTATAAAAAGTATACTTCAAGTATACCGTTGTACGGTCTTTTTTAAGTTTACCAAATTATACATTCAAGTACACTCATCTATATACTACTAGTGTACTACGTATATAATTGAGGGTCGCATTTTAGTTTGTTGAAGTACATTTAAAGTATACAACAAGTATACATTTCTCTATACTGGCATTGCACTAGTTACACATTTCTAGTCCACATTTAATTTTATTTAAGTATACTTTAAGTACAGTTTTATGAATAAAGAAAAATAAGAAGTAATAAAGTATAATAAAGAAAATATAATAAAAATAATAAAGGAATAGAGAAGCATATACTAAAGTACAAATATAAGCTTTAGTATTAAAGTATAAGTTTACAGTAAAGCTTAGTTTTAGTGTAGTCTTACTTCTCTTTATACTTTTCAGTATTAGCTAAGTATACTTCACTATTAAGTATATCAAATAGTTTATAAAAAGTAAACTTCAAGTACACATCCCCATTTTTAGTGTAAAATAAGTATACTTGTAGTACACTTAAACTACTTTTTGCTAAGTGATAGGTTAAACCCACCTTCTTCACTTTCTTGTAATTTTCTTTCCTCTTTTTCTTCTTTCCTTTCGCCTCATCGTCCATCAGAGGCTCATACCTGTCTGGCCGAAAGGCAAAGTTTATTTCTCTGAGCCACCTCTCCTTCGACCTGCTGTCAGCGCAGACAGTCTGAGCGTCACCACCCTGAGATTGATCCACACAGTCCACATGCCGCTGATATTTTGCTGAACTCCTAGTTTCACCTGACCCTGCTGCTGAATTCCTGTCAAACAGCCTCGATGGAAGACTGGAGTTCTTCATGTTATCTTCTTGTTGCCAGTTTTCTGAAGAGGTCAGGAATGTTGTCAACATACGTTGTGTGTGTGTCTGGGGTGCATTCCTCTGCGGAGTGTGTGTGTGAATGGGGGGATTTGGCAAACAGCCTCTTAAAGGGGCAAATCCTTCCTCGTCAAGACTGGTCTCAGGATTACGAGTGAAAAGTTTGATTCAAAGCGACTATTATCCCGTTAGTGGTTAAAGCTCAGTGTGGTTGTCATAGTAACCAGAGTCGAGGCAAAAAGCGGTAAAGACCATCTCCACATTACCTCTTACTAACATTTATCACTCAACCTGCATTCTTCCTGGCCTGCAGAACAAAAAAGACAAATCCATGATCTACTACATGATTCACATCCAAACAGTTAAAAGCAATAATTTACCCCATCAGCTGGATTTATTCCTGTTTGTTTTAATAATAAAATGCTATGGCAAGTTAGACATTTTTTCTTGTTATTGCAAAATTATGCTGTTCGATTTCATTTAAAAACTTCCAACTGTCAAATGTGTTTACTTTAAAATGTCCCATTGAAATCTTGCGTAAAATTACATTTTGGTATCAGCAGCTAAGAAACAAGATGCAGGGATTGCTCTCATCTTTGTTTGTGTATACTTGGTTCCAGTAAAACTAAAGAAACCATCATTAGGGAACTGATGTTGAAGATACAGTTTAATGAACAGTTTTGAAATTAAAGGCATTAGAGCTTTTTGTCATTTACAGCAGAACATGTTTTGGCATCTCTGTCTTGTGGTTTATTTCTGTACATAAAGGCATTTAGTATCTGAACTTTTATCAAGTTTATCTAACAAGTATCCTGATGTATGCTCGATAATCCAGGTAGATCCAACAAATCTACCAAGGTTGAGTGTGGTCCTCTGGGCGAATTCTTCTTTGTTGAAACGTTTAGTCTTTTATCCAGAAGACTTCTTCAGTCTGAGGAGCTGCAGTAAACACAAAACAGCACCTTCTCATAGTGGATCAACTAGTTTGTTGGCGACAGCCAGAACTTGTTGTTCACACGCAAAAGAGGACCATCATCCAAACAATTGATCGTTAGTGCCCTGATGGCTGCTTGCTATTCACAGAGGGCTGAGTGATACTAGCAGTAACAGCATCGTAATAGGTGGACAGTTGGACACGGAGGCCTCCGTCCCTGTTTAATGATAGACGGGTTCTCTTCACAAAGATGGCTTCCTTCACTCCTCTCTCAAACCAACGTTCCTCGCTATTTCAGGGACGAAGATGTGCACATCCTTGATAAGAGAGGAACACTGGTTTGAGAGAGGAGTGAAGGAAGTCATCTTTGTGAAGAGAACCCGTCCATCGTTAAACAGGGACGGAGGCCTCTGTGTCCAACTGTCCACCTATTACGATGCTGTTACTGCTAGTATCACTCAGCCCTCTGTGAATAGCAAGCAGCCATCGGGGCACTAACGATCAGCTGTAAGGATGATGGTCCTCTTTTGCGTGTGAACAACAAGTTCTGGCTGTCACCAGCAAACTAGTTGATCCACTATGAGTTGGCATTGCTTATAAGACTGAGTTTACTGCAGCTCCTCAGACTGAAGAAGTCTTCTGGATAAAAGACGAACGTTTCAACAAGAAGAGGACCTGATTCAACCTAGTTGGATTCATCTACATAGATTACTGAGCATGCATCCGGACATTAAATGAAGTTCAATTTGTCCGAACATTAAAAAAAAAAAAAAGTGCTATTGAAAAACTAAACGTAAAAGGGAATAGTGTTACACATTTTCCAATATTTTCTTTCAAACTTCTGTAAACAACAACTACTACAAACTGTTAAAAGAAATAACATCCAAACAAAAATAAAGTCTGAACAACCGAAATGTAAATTAATTGAACAAAATAAACGATGGTCCTCAAGTCCGACTGATAAACAAATCTTTTACTGCAGCTACATTTCCTCCGTGTGATTACTGATCCATGTTCTGACTTTATGACTTGTTTTGCCCACGGTCAGGATCTTTGAGTCGGAGGATGCGGAGGATGTTGCTCACAGGAAGAGAACTAAGGAGAAAAAAGCAAGAGCGGACATGACCTTTAATTTATATTTTTAGTGCTTATACTAAAACCTGAGCAGCTACAAGTAAATCAAGATGCTCAATCTATCAAATTAAACACAAGATAATTAATTAAATAAAACTTATCAGGACTTGTCAGTGGTTACCTCATGTTTTGGGGAGTGAGGAAAATAAATTGTCTGTAGCGCTGACCAGCAGCCACCTTCAGCATCATGTCCATTGAAATCCTCCTATTCACCATATCCTAAAAGAACATAAATTTAGGGAAATTAATATATTTTTAATGGCATTCCAAATAATAATAATAATCATAAACTCTTCTTAACTTCGTTTGTGGGTCTGAAAAAGTGTCAAGATGAAGTTAAGATTTGTAGGCAGAAAATATGCAACACTTTCAGCTCAGATTAGGATAAATACAGTCTCCTGCTCTTAATGTCACCTTCAATTCATGCTGCATTCACTGAACCTTGGAAACAGGAGAACAAAACTTTCTTTGTCTTTTACTTTGATATTAACTTCAGATTACCTTCGAAAGTTAAACCACCCAACGTCACAAATAATTTAGCAACTTATTCTCTACCAGCAGTCTATTTTCCCCTCTAGTCAGAGTAATCATAATTTCCCATTTGTTACTGAATGCAACATTAGGAGTTTAACAAAAGTCATCATTATGAAACTGTTCTAAACATTTAGGCTTATGAAAACTTAAAAAAAAAAAAAAAAGCGGTTTAGAGCCCAGGATTTAAGCAACAATAACGGACAATTTAGATCAACAGGCTGACTGTTACTTTTGTAAAAATTTTCAGTGAAGCGTTTTAATAACTTGCATGACTTGGAATTGCGCCGCTCAAGGTGGCTGCATGTTGGAGCAGCTCTGTTACTTTCATTCTGAGATTTTACTTTTGGAAACTTTAATTCCTCTTTTTTCTGGATGTAAATCACATTTTTTTGGATGATTGTTTCCTCTGGTATCAGATGCTGTGCAGCTGGAAGGATTTTTACTGAAACTTTTTTAGTTTTGGACATTTGTTATGATGCGTAACCATGGCAACAAGGCAGTTTTCTACAACCAACAGCAGCTGATTAACATCTCAAAAGCTCAAATAATATCTCAACTACAGCCCCAAATCTCAAGTGAGTTGAAAAGGATGTTCTGTGGATGGATTCTCATCTACCAGCCAGCTGTGCTCGAGTGCCTGACCACTGAGATCCTAGAACTAGCAGGAAACACGGGTCATGACAGCGGAAGGACAGGATCGTCCCTCGGCACCTACAGTTGGCTGTCCGCAGCTACGAGGAGCTCGGCAGGCTGCTGGGAGGAGTGGCCATCGCTCTGGGAGGAGTTCTGCCCGGCATTTGGGCGGTCCTACAGCCTGAGGGGAACCGAGAGGTCAGCCGAGTCTGGGTGGACGGATCGGACGGCATCTGCAGCCAGTTTCTTAGGATCCACTGTGGGATGGATCTTTACAAGAGATCCTTCCTGTCTACAGCCATCAGTATCTATAACATCTCTTAATGAAATGAGGATAACGAGTTACAACAACAAATAATTTCCCACTGGGATTAATAAAGTATTTTTGAATTGAATTGAATGAGATCCAGCTTAAAAACACCATCTATATTGACTGTCAGCGGTTCTCAAGTTTGCTGAAAATTTTTCCAAGTTTGCCTTGGAATTTAGTTAGCCAAGCGCAAACATGAACTTGTATTCAATTATCTCATTCCCTCGCTAAAGGTGCAGCATGGTGCGTGTCTCATTACCATGTAAACATCAAACTCGTCCAGACAGCGAAAAGGTGCTTCTGTGATGGCCCAAAGAGAGAGAACAAAACAAACAGTGGAGAAGGAGCGTTCGCCTCCGGACAGGGAGCGCATGTCGCTCAGGTCAGCTTTGTTTCCTTGACCTGGTTGCACCTAAAGCACAAGTGAACAAAAAATAATTCTGTTAGATTTAAAGAAATTATCACTGGTGAGTAGGTAAAAGCCTAAAAGCAAATGCTGATGTTGTACAGCTAATACGTTATATTCAAAGCAGTCTGCTCCTCAGATAAATAATGTTAAATTATTATTTTATATATGAATGTTTCTGTTCGGTGCCCTCAGATGACTTCTGTTGTGACTTGGCACTATATGAATAAACAGAATTGAATAAAAACATTTTCAACTGCTACATTATTATTTTTTTTACATAAAAAAAAAAGAAGCAGAATTGAATTAATCAAACGATCTTACAGAAATGCTCAACGTCTCATTCTTGTGGTCAAACGTCATTCTTCCACTGTAGCCTCTCTGAGCCAGCATGCTGTCAAAGTAATATTTACAGCGAGCTGACAGGAACCTGCAACAGCAAACAGGAAAAAGCACTTTGAGATGAAAGCTTCTGCTGGAACACTATGAGTCTTTAAAAACAAATAAGACTAATTGTTTTTGGTAGTGTAGAAATCCTTTTCAAGTAAACAATGTTAGCTTCGCCAAACAGCATTTGCTGCACATTAGCATTGCAGCTGAAGTAACTGAAGATTGAGCACTTACTTCCGGAGGTCAGCGTAAGCTTGAAGTCTGTGGGTCATGACGTTGTCCAGACTTTTGATGAAACTATGAAAGTACTTCATTTGCTGCGACATGTTCTTGTAGCTCTCTAAAGCCTCACGGTATTGTCTTAATACAATAGAGACACGTAGAAAAATATAACAAGACGACTCGTTGGTGTTTAGTTTGTTTGAAGTCCTGTAGCTTTCCTCAAAATAATAATATTTAAAAACACATTCCATGTAATATTTGTGGGAAGAAAAAAAAAAAGTCATACGTGTCAATTAAGTGAAGTGACAAACCTCACAACCTCCTCTCGGTCCCCCTGTTGCTCCTGCTGGGTGGCGATCTTCACTTTGAGGCGGCTCATCTCGCTGTCCAAACTCTTGGCTGTTCGACGGACTTCAGTGCGTTCTGGACAAATCTCAGCAGCTTTAGCCACAGACACCTGAGTGGGAAAAGGAACTTTATGGTTAAGAAAGCCGGTCTGCATCCATGTTCCATGGAAAAGCTTGGCTCAATCAATTCAGATTGTTTGTAGTCTGCAGCTGTAAAGTTATTTGCATGAAACGAGAAGAACTGATGGAATGAGAAGCTAAGACAAGAAACATGTGGTGGCGGCAACATGCAACACAGATTAGTTTTAAGGGATAAATAACTGGAAAAACAAGCGTATGACCACATCTTTAAGCAGTTATCCCTTCAGATCTTTGGTTCTTACATTTTTTTTAACTCACACTCTATTGATGCTCAGCAAGAGCGATGATGGAGCCTTGTGCTGATGAAGATGAGATTCTCATGTTATCCACAAGTTTTTACCTGAAATCTGTTTTCCTCAAGAATCAAATTCCTATAATCGTTTCATTTGACATAAAAAAAAAATTAAATACACTTTAATACTTGTTTTTGTGCCCAACTGAGTTTAATAAGGAAAGATATATTTATGAATAGCAGTTCCATAATATTGCTACTGATACCTCCCACCTTGGAAATGAACATTTCAAGCTCCTCCCCCTCTTACTAGAAGTCATATTCAGATTCAGTACTTCCTATCGCAGACGTTTCTTCCCATCAGTTGTTGGACTTTAACACTCATTGACATCATCTCTTCTCACCACACTAAGTCCCACCACATGTAAATCTGTATTGGAAATATTGTGCTTACACCTTTTGTATGTTTGCATATTTTTGTAAGTGGTTGTGTGCATCTTTGTTTTTATGCACTTTCTGCACAAAGTCAACAAGACAAATAACCTAATAGTGATTAATGGCATAGGAAATAAAATGTATTAAAAAAGCTGGCTCAGTTGTTAGAGTTGTGATCTCTTAACATAAAGGTTGCTGGATCGAATCCCAGCCTGGGACCTTTCTGGGTGGAGTTTGCATGTTCTCTCCGTGCATGCGTGGGTTTTCTCCGCGTACTCGTTTCCTCCCACAGACCAAAAACATGCATGTTAGACTGATCAGTAACTCTAAATTGTTTCTAGGTGTGAGTGAGAGAGCGAATGGTTGTTTGTCTCGTTTGTCTCTACGTGTCTCTGTGATGGACTGGAGACCTGTACAGGGTGTCCCCCGCCTCTCGCGCAGTGACTGCTGGACATGGCGCCGCAACCCATAAAGGAAGAAGCGGGTAAAGATAATGAATGGATGGATTTAATAAAAAAAATTTTTAAACCAAAACCGTCAAGCAACACCCAGAAACTATGTGAAACGTACTGGTACAGTGTCAGTGTAAGTTTGACAAACCTTTAGGTCGTCCTCCTTGCTCTTAAGCTGCTCTTCAAGAGTCTTGATGTAGCAGAGATGAGCGCTGCGTTTCTCATCATAGTGTTTTTTGTGGTGTTTGCTCTTCATTACCTCCTGGTCAATTTTACTCAGTTCATCCTGCAGGAGGACAATGTATACAAAACACAAGTTTAAGGTTGCAATTAAAGTCAGATTATTTAGGATTTTAAGATCAAAGACAGTTGGAGTGTCCTTTATTCTGGGACTGTGTTAGCTTGATGGTCAATGCGAGGTCTAGTTATCATGAAGCTGCAGGTTCAAGCCCAAGTGCATCAGAAAATGCATTTGGGGTAAACAAAAATCTCTCATGTGAGTTTGATCATTGTGACAACCCCTGACGAGGGAGCAGCCAAAAGAAAATCAACAGCAACACTAAGCCCCAACTCTAACTTGAGATTTGCTGCTCTAATCTCTGCACCAACAATTTTCAGTCAGGTCATCTGGACAGTTTCTCTTTTTTTTTGTGCTAAAACGTTTCACCTTCCATCCAGAAGGCTTCATCAGTCAAGGAAACATACAACACAAAACTGATTCTTCCCCCAAACAGCTTACTCCAAAGTGGAACAAACCAGTTCTGTTGGTGCCAAGATGGTGTCTTTGGCACGCACCCTCCTCCGGTGTCGGCCCTCTTCCTCATCGACAGTCATGTCAAACTGGTTCAAAACCAACAAAGTCCATGCTCAATAATCCAGGTATACAATCCAACAATTTTCAGTCAGGTCACCTGGACAGTTTCTTTTTTTTGTGCCGAAACGTTTCACCTTCCATCCAGAAGGCTTCATCTAATCTCTGTTGTTGACAAAGAGAGCAAATGAAATAAAACCCATTTCCCACCTGCTTTCACTGTTAAGGTTTCTCAGTTGTACCCAAAAAGTCCACAGATTTGTCATGTCTTTACTTTGAGTTGCACACAAAAAAGAATGAGAGGTAAAAAGGTTTGGAAAGTCCTTAAGTGTGCCAAAAAGGTTCCTAACAAAGTGAGATGCTTGCAGCTCTGAGTAAAATAGAAGTAGTCCCTCGCTACTTCGCGGCTCGACTTTCGCGGTTTGTGGACGTCCAAAATATTGAATAAAGAAACTTAATGTTTTCTAAACACACAATTGTAGACTGCACATTAACATCACTGTACAGAACTCATGTGGATGTGAAAAAGTTAACGACAAAAAATAAATAAATGATTCGGACAGGCGCCACCATTTTGTAGTTTTCCTTCATTCAGCCTCCACTGTATTATAATGGCCACTCAGATGAACTACATTTCCCTCAAATCAATGCTGTGCTGTACTGTAGTGCCTCTGGGCGTTGTTTTCAGCTAAACAGTATTTTTGCAAAGCAAAGTCATGACTACTGAACCGGCCTTTCAAATGTAAAATTTAATTCATGTCACATGGAAAATATATATATTTTTTACAACTTTACAAACGTAAGACTTGAAAGAACGTGTAAATCATGTCAGGACATGTCTCTTTAAGAAACAGGGCATTGTAACCTGGGCGCTGACTGGATCAGTTAACGTCAGCTCTGTTTTCCCGACCGCTGATTGGCTGTTACCATCTGTTTACCTGCGCTCTTTTTCAACTGGACTCCAACTGGACTTCTTATGGTTTCTATTAACGATCTGTGCGTTTAAAATTTTCTGGCGGCGAACCGAAACGTCAGCGGAAGATGCCGACAATTAAAGAGAAAGTGAAACTTCTGGACAGACTTTAGGTCGGTCGTACCTACACAGATGTTTGCTGCCTTTAAGGCACGATTGTGAAAATGGAAGCTGCATTGGTCGTGTGGACTAATGATTGCAAATAAATAAATAAATAACATCACTTTGGATACCAACACCATCTGGATAAAGGTGAAACAACTTTATGATTGTCTTGCAGCAGCAGGATAATTTATTTATTAACCTTTATTTAACCAGGCAAATCCCACTGAGATCACAGATCTCTTTTGCAATAGAGGCCTGGGCCTGAACATGCATGTTTCTGGCCTGTGGGAGGAAACTGGAGTACCTGGAGAAAACCCACACAAGCACAAGAAGAACATGCAAACTCCACACAGAAAGACCCCAGGTCCAACCGGGGATTGAACCCAGGACCTTCTTGCTTTAAGGCAACAGTGCTAACCACTGAGCCAAATGCAACGGAGGAAGCAGCAATTAGTTGCATTTAGTGCCAGCAAGGGATGGTTTGACAAATTTCAAAAACGATTTGGATTAAAAAGTGTTTCTCTGCACAGAGAGGCTGCATCCGCTGACAGGCAGGAGCGCAGGAGTTTGTTAACAACGTTCAAAGATCTGACCGCCCGGTGGGGGGCTACAGGTCTGAACAAGTTTTTAACGTGGCCGAAATGGGCCTGTTCTGGAAAAGGATGCAACCTCACACTTTTATTATGAAGGACAAAGCCAAAGCCCCTGGTTTCATCTCACCTTCATCATCACTGGACACCTAATAATTCATCTCCATCCCTTATAGTTCATCTTCTCTGGTGAGTACCCATTTAAAATTAATATATATTTTTAAAGGTTTAAGAGTTCAGAAGGACCAGTTTCGGATTTATATTTTTATGTGTTCTCTAAAAACTGCTACCAATAAAAAATTTGAAAGATACCAATTCTATATTTAGAGACAATAAGAATAAATTTCATTTTACTCAACGTGTAGTTATTTAACAATTGGGTTTTCTGATTCAGAAGTTCCACAAGCTGTACCAAAGTCACAGTATTACCTTGACAGAATCAGCCTCCTCAGCGATGGTGCTAATGGTGTCTTTATGCAGCTTGTATTCCTGCTCTGCCTTTTCGTAGTCGGCCTTGAGTTCGGCCAACTGGGTTTTAGCTTCCTCGAATTCTGTGCGCTTAGATGAAATCTTTGCAGCAATCTCTTGAAGATCTTCTTCCTGTGATGAATTAAAGACGACAGCAAAGTCAGAGTGTGGTAGCTGACGGCACAGGGTCACATATTGTTAGTTTTCTAGCGCACACAGAAGTTATGTGATGTACTAACCAGAGGACTGAGGTCCTCTGACTGAGGCTCCTCCACATTCTTTAGGTCCGTCAGCTCGAGCCCACACCGTGTGGCTTTATCCTAGAACAAATACACAAACTTCACTTTTAACAAATTTATTTTGCATCATAACATCATTCCAAATAATGCATCCCAAATAATTTGGGACTGTAATTATGTAGCAGCCTTGTTTATTTTGTCTTTTAGACTCTAAAGTGAAGATTTTGTTTAAAATTACAATTAAGTAATAAAACCTTATGTCATTAGAAACAACAGAACCAAAAAGAAAGTGCAAATTAAAGAAAAAGAATAAAAAAGGTTAAAAATACAGTTTGTTCTGAAATATCAATAAGACCCTTATTGTTAGCAAATAATCAATAGCTCTATATCAAAGTTCATGCTCAATAATCCAGGTAAAAAAAAAATCCAACAAAGTTAAATCAGGTCCTCAGGACGGTTTCTTTTCTTTTTATGTTGAAACGTTTCGTCCTTCATCCAAAGGACTTCATCAGTCTGAGGGGCCACAACAAACTCCGTCCCACAAGCAGCACACTCGCACAGTGGGCCGACTAGGATGAAAGGTTTCAACAACAACAACAACAACAAAAACTGTCCAGAGGGCCTGACTTAACTTTGTTGAATAAATAGCTGTAATTTTTTTAAGCATTAAAATTCACATTTCACAACAGACCAGACAGAACCATTTTTTTTTTAAACTTCAGACACAAGAAAAGTTGCTCAGAGAACAAAAAGTTACTTTAATGTTTTTTTGCTCCGCTTGTGCTCTTCTCTGCAACCCTTGATTCTGTTTGACGTCTTCGTCCAGTTTTCCCATTTGTTGCTGGAAACGAGACTTCTGAGCCTTCTGGTTCTCCAGCTCCCTCTCTAAGTGTCTGTTAAAAGAAAAGATGAGAACAAAAATGAATAACTGTGCGACAATCAGAAAGTGCATTAAGAGTATGCACAAAAGCACAACCAGCAGAGAAAAACTGCTGCGAGATCAGTTATGTTACTTTATATCCAAATACCGGCACTGCATCATTCCAGCTTTTAGCTTTCTGTTACTATGAAGCAACTTTAGTTGTTTTTTTGCTGCATTGCAAAACGAACATGAAAAATTATGAAAAGATTTGAAAATGTAAACAAACAAAAAAAAGATTATTAAGTTTAATAATGTTGTGGTGGATATGGCCTTTTGAGGAGATGACAAACATCCATCCATTGTCTTTTACCAGCTTCTTCCTTTTTGGGCCACTGGTGCCCATATACAGCAGTCGCTGTGTGAGAGGCGGGGGACATCCTGGACAGGTCTCCAGTCCATCACAGGGACACATATAGAGACAAACAATCATTCACTCTCTCACTCACACCTAGGGACAATTTAGAGTTACCAATCAGCCTAACATGCATGTTTTTCTGTTCTGTGGGAGGAAACCGGAGCACCCGGAGAAAACCCACGCATGCACAGAGAGAACATGCAAACTCCATCCAGAAAGGTCCGGGGCCAGGATTTGAACCTCGTTGAGAGGCAACAGCTCTACCAACTGAGCCACTGTGCCGCCTGGCTAGGACATACAATGGCCTTTTAATGGCACTTTCTGCACTGGAAACAGTACAGGAAATCCTGGTTATACTACTAACACTGGAAAAGTCAAGCCAATTACAAAGTCTTTTGCAACTTTTATTTTAAAGGATTTGTTGCTTCCAATGGTTGAAAACCAGGACTTGTGCGCTGTTTCCATGATAAAACATGATCATCCTATGTCAAACATACGAGCGCACTCTTTGGGCACCTTATGATTTCATTACAATTCAGAGGGATGCAGTGCAATTACAAAACAAGAAGAAGTTCCTACAAGAAGCAGTTATTTGAGCAAGGCAATGTTTTAAACTGAGACACTCACCTGATCTCTTCCTCAACATCTCCTGAAAGACAGATGGCTCTGTTCTGATCAGAGGAGTAAGTACGGTTATTGAAGTTCTGATCCCCGTCTTTAGAGAAGGCTTGGGTGCAGTTAGCGGGAGGATTTGAGCCCTGCATAACTCTCCGAGCCTCCGTGCGATTCTACACATTCACGAACACACCCAAAAAATTCATATGAAAGAAAAGTAAAATTTGACACATTAATTTAGTGTTAACAGTTTTAAAGGACAAACAAGAAAGTTACATTTTTGTTTTCATATTTGTTGCTTTAAAATATACAGATTTTCAAACTTTTAGAAAACACTTTTCATCATTTCCACAGAAATGATGAAAAGTGTTGTAGCCATTTCTGAACTAATAAAAAAAATGAGATTTTCTCACCTTAATGAGCAAAATGCTTTCAATGCCCCTTTGATCGATGAGACAGTTCGCCACAACTGGGTCCTCAATCTCAAGAGCTTGAAGCACGGAGGGATATTCAGGATGATTCACAGCCCTGACAAACAAAGACAAATCAGTTACACTTGATGCAAAAAACAAACAAACAAAAAACACAACAACACCAAGTACCACTACAAGTACTCAAACTATCATTTTCATTTATCTTTGGCTTAACTTAGCATTAGTCAATATATTCCAACAGAAAAACTGCAGATCTGTGACGTTGAATAAAAATAATCTACTCCAGATGACAAAAAGTTTTACTAAATTTTAAAATTCTGACTTAATATGTCGGTGCTGTTGTGTCAGAGGCATACTGTGCATATAAATATTGAAAAGGTTTGTTACTGTGGTGAACTGCAGCCAATGTGAATTAATTGTTGTTTCAAGATGGAGGACCTAAGCAAAAATTCCCAGGCACTGTTTAAACTCATACGAAGGATTAATTAAATTTTTTTGTTTGTTTTTTTACCTCCTTCGTGTATCATGGACGTGTGGGAGGAAGCTGCTGGTAATGATGGTCGGCCTGCGACCAGCAGGAAAAACGTTGGCCATGAGGCCCTTCAGCACCTTCTCATCATCGTAGTTGTCGCATGTGAAAGCTTTTATGAGGCTTTTAAGACATACTTCCACAGCCAAGGCCAGCTCAGGGTCCTTCAAACTAATAAGGTAACCTAAGGAGGAAAAGAACTCGTATGAAAAAAGCAAGCATTTCATATGAATTACCAGTTCATAAAAGAATGCAAAGAAAAAAATGTTACAGATTTATCAGAGTTCCATATTTCAAAACAGGAGTCAAAAACGAGATATGAAGTCTTACCCAGAGGTCCTCGAGGTCTGTGCTTGAACTGACCCCTTTTGTGAGCTTCCTGGATGGCACTGAGCAGCGCAGGCATGTGCTCTCCAAAACGCCGAAGACGGTTAGAGCGGCTGCTCTTCATCGTCTGCAGTTTCCTTTCGTTGATCTCAATGGATTTCTGGAACATTTTATACTCTCTCCTGGAGATGCAGCAAGAAAAAGGTTTATTAATGAGACAATAGACAAAAACAAAACAAACCCAATTCAGGAACAAGTTGGTTCAGAACCCAAACTCTGATTTTTAATTATTCCACCCCTCAGTGCCTGCTGTGAAGATGTTTAAAAGTGTGGGGGGAAGAAACACACACACACACAATTTGGATGCAAATTAAGTGCTGGGTTCACAAAAACTCCCTTAAAAAATATATCCAAGTACAGAAAACAATTAACTGGAGCTGAGCTAAAACCTTAAGTTGACCATACTTATATTAGAGATGGCAAAATTGTTTTTAAAGCTACCAAGGAACCTGGAATGCATTCATAATCTCTCTTTAGTGCATCCTGTTTATTTGCATACTCCATCTTTGCTTGCTCTTCTTTGGCACGGCTGCAGGCGTGTTCATACTGGTCAATCTGTTGGCCTAGAGTGGACGTCTGATGCTTCAGGCTTTCCAGCTCAGTTTGAACCTGCTCCACACGCTCAGCCCTCACCTGGCTCTCTGCACCTGTTGTCTGACTGATGCTAAAGGGAAAAAAATGGGTGTTAGAAATAAAAACATTGGAAACACTGTAAAGAATGCATCATGTTAAATTAAACTGCAAAAATCAACAGAACATCACACCTCAGCTTGAGATCATTAATACGTGAGGACAGCTGAACTTTGTCCTTTTCCAGGTCCCGAAGGTTTGTTCTGCACCTATGGACAGTGAGCTGAAGTCCATACATAAATAAGAAATAAAAAACATTGGTCTTTGACAAAAACACACATCAAGCATCAATGTGATGTAAACTACCTACTAAATAAATAACATACATAAATAAAATCAACATAATGAAGAAGGGAATTCACTCCGTTATACAGCTCAAAAGTAAATACAGTAGTCCCTCGCTACTTTACGGTTTTTCAACGATTGTCACCTTTAATATTACTCAGTGATTGGGATGGTACAGATAAAAACTTCAACGGAAAAATATTTTGGACAGGCGCCGCCATTTTGTAGTTTTCTTTCAATAAAGCCTACACAGTATTGCCGGTCCAAAAGAACTACATTACCCATAAGCCAACAGTGCACTACCCAGAAGTCAACAGTGCTTCTGGCCACTGCTGCTGAAATGGAGGGAAAGTTTTGATCCAATCCAAAACTGACCAAAAGTTTGTTCCTGATTCATGGAAACTTCGGCGCTCAGTGGATGCAGAGTCGATCAGAACCAGACCAGAACTACTTCCAGCCTCATCGGTCAATCTGAGTGCTGCAGGGAGCCTCTTCTCCACAGCTCACCTGGACTTTTTTCATTGGATCCCTCTGGATCATTTGGACTCGATTGGGACCATCGTGTGGTTTTGTGCTGGCTCTAGGAAGGTCCGTCCCTCTTCAAAAGCATCTTGGTGCTCAATGGCTGCAGAGAGCTGATCAGAACTGGACAAAGGCTGGCGAGTTCCCATATAAAATTTTGCAGTATAGTACTAAGTACTGTACATATACGCATGTTGTTAAAATGATGATGTAGGTTTAAGAGCTTAGAACGTTGTAAGAGTGTGGGAAGGGTTTATAAAGCCTTAAAATATATAAATACTAAAATAAATATAGCGTTCCTACTTCGCAGTTTTGCACTTATTGCGGCGGTGTCTGGAACGTAACCCCCGCGATAAACGAGACTACTGTATACTAAAATGAGACCGTATATGAAGTAATCACCTGCTCAGGATCAAACCGGTATTACTGGTTTCATCCTGATAAATTTAATATTTAAATCTATTATTTAGTTTATGGTGATAAAACAGAACTGTGTGAAAGTCTTAATACCATTTTACATTATTTTTAAGACACTTTGACCTATAAATCAAATTTACATGGGATTTTTAGGCACTATGAAGCTTTCTGACCTCGCAGGATTTCAAAAGGTTGTTGCGTTTCTGGGCCTCCGTCTTCAGTTCAGCAGATTTAGGTTGAAGTTCCTGAACTTTCCGAGTAATTTCCTCTAGTTGTTCCTGAATATGTTTGTACTTCTTTTCCGCTTCCTCAGCCTTATTCTGAGAAATGAAATTAAAAGGTTAATAAATGCATAAAGACAGCAGGGCTGCGCACACAAACAAATCACAGAAATGGTCTTTATTAATTAGCTCTAATTAAGTCCCATCAAAAACACATGCACACATGGTGAAAAAAACAAAAGTTTAAAAAACATCACTTCATCATACCTTCCATTCTTCCACCTTTTCATCATATTTCTGTGTTGAACGCTTGTCTGACTGCAGCTTCTCCTTCATTGGCTCCACCTCTCTTTCCTTTTCAGACACCTGAAACATTTATTTATTTCACATTCATAACCGTTTAAAACATCAATAATATATTGTAATACACCAGTTTCAAAGAAGCCACAGGGAATGCTGGTCTGCAGCGTACTGACCAATGTCCATGCCATTTGTTTCTGCAATTCCTCCAGTTTTGTGTGCATTTCGCCAATTGATGCCAAGTTTTTGTAACGGTCCTCTTTCTCCAGGAAATTTCGTTTCAAGTCTTTCAAGTACTAAAAAAACAGAACACAGAAAAAAACAATCACTTTAAACTGTAAGGTTTGCTTCTTCTCCAATCTTAGTTAAACGGAAGTCAGTGAAAATAGTCCATACTTCGCTGTTTTGCTCAACTTTATCCTCTGTGATTCTCTTAGTGGTTTTGATGTGAAAAAAGTCTTCTTTCATCTGCTCCAGTTGGGTGGCCTTCATAAAAAACTGCAAAAACGACAGAAAAATTATAAATCCACTTGCATGTATTACTAAATCTGCACATCTAAATAGCAACAAGAATCTAAAGCTATGCTAACATCTTTGTAGGCTCCATTAGAGTGGTAGTTTAAATTTACAAGCATGCTAATATGACTAGCTAACAAGCTAACCAAGACTAGTCGATCCATGAAATAAAACATCAACTTTAGCTAACACATTTGCTTCAAGTACAAGTTTTTCAGGTGAATATAAATTTAATACTAAAAACAGAGCCAGCCCAAAGGATAAAAACCATCAGTTCCATGCAGCAAACAAGATATTTAAATATGCTGAAGTGTTGCGGTAACACCGCTGCAAGAGTAAACGACAAATATTTGACCAGACCTTATACTTGTCTCCCTCTCCTTTAGAGTGCAGGAAGTATTTGCTCATCTCCTGTGTGAGGACTGATACAGGATTGTTCACCTGCAAAAAAAGAGAAAAATCAGTGACTATCACAGAAATACAGATCTATTCTGTAACTGCAGTTTAACATAAAATAGATCATCTTTTGAAGCAGACAACTTTAGAAATGGCTGAGTATGATTTTATGGTATTCATGTTCCAACTGGTCCCATTTTTGTAATGGAGAAGACCAGCATGCTTCCTACCTGAATATTAAAATTGTCTAGGATGGAAACGAGCTCTTCCTTTTTGGTTGACATAACCTGACCTATCAAAAGGACAAATATCATGTTTGTGCATCAACAAGGCATAATCTCTATATTGGCATTTAAAAACACTACATATTAGCATCAAGCTGTAACGGAGTACTCTCATGCAAATTAAAACACAGAATGTAAGTAATTCAAAAATCTTTCTTACCTGATGTACTTCTCAGTTTGTAGGTTCTCAGCCCCTCTCGTGTTATCCTCAGATCTACAATGATGGATGGACCGTATGCCTCAGGTTTGTAAGCGTCTCTTCCTTTGTTTCGCAGAGTGATCGATACATCGGCAGAACTGAGGAAATAGAAATACTCTTTACCTCTATTGGTGAAAATTATCTGTTAAAATAAGCTACTTTCAAAAGAAACGAATTAGGGCTGGGCGATATGGACCAAAATTAATATCACGAAATTTTAAGATAAATGGCGATATACGCTACATATCCGACCACTAGGGGGCTCCACACACACGCAGATGTCAGGATGATTTGTTTTTAAAAATATGTCGAAAAAATACGATATTTGTTATATATTCAAAATGTATTTTTTTTCAGAGCTTAAAAGTATGTTATTCAAAGTGTTTAGCACAATTTTGCTGTTGTTTATGTGTAATGCCAAAATAAATGTATGTTTATTTTGTTTAAAAACAGCATGTTTTACACATTGTGGTGGGTTGCCAGTTGGACTTTTTTTCAGAGCTAGTTGCTTGTTTCTATCGCGAGATCTGGCAACACAGCTGCGTCGTGTGTCGGTCGGAGTTTGTTTCTCTCCCGACACGGACGAAGGCTTGCTGCTTTTGCCTTGAGCTTCTGCTTGCGCTTTAAAAATGCGCTGTAAATACCAGAAGGAACACAGCAAATAAAATACCCTAAACTGGATATTTGTCTCCATGTATTTTAATGAGAAGACAATTTCATACCTTCTCACTCTAAACCAGTTAATTTCCCGGAGAACACCAAACCTCTGCTAGCAGCTACCGCCATTTTCACACCTGTCAAGGAATTTACCCCCCACTGTGAGTCAACAAAGACTGCATATCTAGCTTAGCTCAGCTTTATAGTTCAAATAAAGTATTCAGCAGCAGCAAGCAGCGGGGGAGGGGCGGGTTTGTATTCAGTGAGGGAGAGCGGATGGGTGACGTGAAGGTGCAGACTGGGAGAAAAACTGGCTGATTTTCAAGTAATTATAACTACGTAGAGTATAAGACTATTGTTTTATATCGATATACTCTCATTTTAAATCGCGTATGAAATTATCTCAATATTTTTAAAATATTGACTTACCGCTCACCCCTAAAACGAATCATACAATTCAGCATTTAATAAAGAACATATAAAAGTGTGGCTACCAGGCACAACAGCTACTAAAACACCTCCAGCTTATAAAACGAGCAAACCAAAGCTGTGACTTTAAAGAGGCTAACATAAAACAAGAATGGCTAAAGAAAATTGAATGGGTCTCCTATAAACAAACAAATCTTAACTCATATACAACATTTATTTGAAATGTCCAACACAAGACCTCCAGATGTTCACCTTTCTCCTTCTTTCACAAACCCCTTGAGTGACGATCCTCTGTTTGTGGCTTGCGCGTTTCCTCCCAACGCCACGATGAGAGCTGTCAGAATGGCGCTCTTTCCACCTGTTGCAAGCATTTTGCACACAGACAAAAAAAAATTAGATATGAAAGATGAGGAACAAAAGTAACAAGTGTCAGGTGTCGAAAAGGTTACCAGCTTTGTAGACGCAGTAGGTATGTTTACATGGACATAAGTAACCGGATCAAATGGCCGGTCGGAATAAAAGTGTGTCATGTAAACACTCCGTTTGGGTTATTTTTTGTGTATTCGGCGCGATCCGATATAATTTGTGATCAGAACAAAACGGGTGGTTTACGCAGATCCGAAACCCGATCGGTGCGCATGTAAACGCTTGATCTGTTCGTTTTTATCTGATGGTGAAAAACTGAGCTGACTGCGCATGTGCGACTGCCATTTCCGCCTGGCTAACGCTAATAATATTAGCATGTCAGGGAAGTAAAAGTGGTCGGTGAGCGACACAACATTTCTACTAGAAACTTTGAAAGAGCTCAAAATGATTTCTATTACCTGTAGCTCAGTCAGGGAGTGCAGTAACGTCTCCACCATCATTAAAACCTGTCGCAGGTCCATTTTGGGTGCTCAGGTTTGTTTACGTTCACCCGGAAGTAGAACTTCTTCTTCTGTTTTTTTTTTTAAGGAGAGTTTACCACTCTGCGCATGTCAGTACTGCTGTTCAGAACAAAGCCCGCTGCATGTAAACGCTCATCATGAACAGATTGTGCCCATGTAAACAACACATTTGAATTATTCAAACAGAACACATTTCAATCCGGTCAAAGAATTCTGCGCATGTAAACATAGCTACTGACTTAAAAGTCAATTTGTCATTGGCAACGTCAACAAAGATAAGAAAGTGGCTCACATTAGGTATCATGAGTCACAATAATCCAATTACAAACAGACAGCTTAAACTACATGCCTTCATACCTGGTAATAGAACAGGCCACACATGTCTAGAGACAAGTTGTAATTTAATCACATTTACTCTTTCCTATGTGCCAAAGAACCCACAAAAACAAATAGTGAACAACAAAGTTGTGAGCTAAAAAAAAAGAAGCTCCAGATCTCCTGATGCATGCTCAGTAATCCAAGGAGAAAAGTCTATCAAGGTTACGTCAGGTCCTCTGGACAAGAATCCGTCCAGAGGACCTGACGTAACCTTGATAGGAAGATTCCAGATCGTTCCAGCATGTGCTGAAAGTTTCCTTTAAACCAGCTTTGTTTAAAATATTTAAAGCCATAATGTGGACATAATTCCTTATTCTAATTTCTTAAAAAATAAAGACAGTAAACCTTAACAAGGTGCGTCAGAGCAAGAACAGAGCGCTGCGGATTACAATGCATTCATAGCACTTGGTTGTGCAATAAACGGAGTTATTGCAAGAAAGAGTACGATTTTTATATCGTTTTAGAATTAAAACTACAACCACTTACAAGCTTCAGTTTGTGAGTTTGTAGTTATCAAAGGTTTGCTAAGCTCCATCATGCTAGTTTTTTTTTTTTTTTTTTACATTTTAAGACTTCTTTTATATAACTTACTGAAACATATGTGTATATTTTTGCAGTAGATGCAATTCAAGCTGAATACGTTGGTAACTTACGGGCTTTACGCCCTTCTTTTTAACAGATTCAAGTTGGTAGAGCTGCCGCCTCTCAGCGAACAGGTCGGTTCAAATCCCGGCCGTGGGCCTTTCTGTCGAAGTCCAAGTTTCTTTATTTGTCAACATTATTTGTCATTTGCACCACATGTGGTACATGTGGTGGAACAAAACTGTACACGGGGTCCAAGTTACATCCAACAAAAGCATAAATTATAAAGAAAAACAGTAATAAGATCTAAAATATGAACTAAGAAATATGCTAAACTAAGAATACGCTAAGCGATAGTAGTATAAAAACATTAAAAACAATACGCCGGGTGGAGTTTGCATGTTCTCTCCATGCAAATCTTCCCTAGTTGCTCCGGTTCAATGTCGAAAAACATGCGTTAGGTTGATTGGTAACTCTAAATTGTCCCTAGGTGTGAGTGAGAGAGCGAATGGTTGTCTCGTTTGTCTTCTATGTGGCCCTGTGATGGATTTGCGACCTGTCCTGGGTGTTCCCCAACACCAGTGACCCCGCGACCAGAAAAGGAAGTGGGTAAAGGTAAATGGATGGAAGGATGAAATCACAACTGTAAACCTACTTCGATGCACGAGTAAATCTGGGTCAAGAAAAAGGGATACTTACTTCCATTGTTGCCAACAACAAAGTTGACATTGGAACCGAAGGCAAAAGGTCCAAGGAGCGAGTGGCACATGAAGTTCTTCAGCGTGATGCTCTCCACAATTCCTGCATCACTAACCACATCACCTGAACACTGGAACTAAACAAACAGCTTGTGTCAGTGACTGTTTATAGTGCAATAACTACATAAAAAGACCAACTCTGCCATTTGCTGTGCCAATTCCTACCCGTTTACTTGGACCAGAATCGTCCCCATCACTCCCAGCATTACTTCCCTCCTGCTCGCCATCCGTGGAGGAAGATCTGATCCGTTTGTTTGGGTTTTCACCGGGAGACGCGCCGCTTGTCCTGCGCTTCGCCATCTTGGTTGTTGGATCAGCCAACAACGCCCCCTACCAACCAGCGCAAAACAAAACCGAAAGAGTATGCAAACCATTAGCATATAAACAGACTTTCAGCTGAACTTTCAACGGATAACCGTGACCCCATTTATTAGATTCCTTACAGCACTGGCTGCAGAGAAGGACGTCATGAAGTTAAGCGTCAGCTAGTTAGTACGTTAACTAACACTAACTTAGGTTAGCTGTGACCGGCAGCCTACCTAGCTAAACTAACTCGCTACATGCTCATCAGAACGTCAAACAGTAGCTGGGTGTGTTTACAGGTGAATACACTCTTAATGATAACCTGTGAGTATTCCTACCTCGTTAGAGCAGTTCAGCTCCCACCACACACACAGCTGCTGAAGCGATGTGAAAAATCTCGCATCGAATTCGCGCTATATAAAATATCGCGAGAAAAAACGAGATTTCCTTTCCATCAAACGCTCTTCACCAAAATAAGAGAAGTGGAAATGTCTTTAAATAAAATGATAAATAAATAGAACAGGTCATTTATATTTTATTATATGTTACTATCCATGTTGTCCATCATGACTGCCGGAGTCGCGATTTTTGTGCATTTACACAATTTTGCTCTTTTTCCAACATTCAAAATTAAATGAATAAATAGTGTTATTTAAAATGTATTAATAAACACAGGATTGCATTAAATAATACCCTGTTTCTTCTTCTGCAGGTTTTTCAGCAGGTAACTCGTTAATTTTTGTGCTATTTCAACAATTTATATAGAATACACTATGCATTCTGGTAATGACTTTTGATATGAGTGCAATTTGTACTTTTTGAAATATTTAGCTTTGTCAGTCATGTTTTTCTTATAAAGTGGAGCTCTCTTCACATCCATTTAAACACTTGTGCTGTTTAAAACCTTTTACTGGTCATTTCTCAACCTTTTAGTTCCTTATTGTAGCTTCTTGTTGCTAATTTCAGCTTCATTCAACTTTCAGCTTTTTTTTCCCAGCTGTTCTCTTCTTTCTGCCATTGGCATCAGAAGCATTTGTAATGTGTGTGTGTGTGTGTGTGTGGGGGGGGGGGGGGGGTTTCACTGGTGGGGGATCTGGGGGTCCTCTGACCTTTTCTGCATTTTGATGTATTTTAATGGTTTGTTATTCATCTATGTCTACCTACATGAGTAAACACTTGATTCAACAACTATTTTAGGGAGCATGGCACATTTTCCCCCGCCCCACCAAACAAATATTTTTTTAGATGTGAGGGGGACACGTCCCCATGGTAATTGTTGCGATGCATATGCTTTCTGCTAATTTAAACTTTTCTCTGCTTTTGCAGCTACTTTTTAGATATTTTTTTCTGCTAATTTTGCAATTTTCTGCAACTTATTTTAATTATTTTAACGTGCATTTTTCTAATAATTCCACCTTTTTACGGTCCTTCAAGCCGCTTTCTGAATTTTTTTGCTTTTATAGCGTTTTCGGCAATGTTTTTGCTAAATCGATTGTTTTGTAAGCTATTCAGCCTTTCTCTATATTTAATTTATTTTCTGCTCGTTTCCGTTTTACTCAGCTTTTAATTCTTTTTTTTTACACATTTCTACTGTTTTTCAACTGCTTTCTGTTTTTCTGCTTTTAGCGACTGTCAGCCGTTCAAATTCAACTTGCATTAACAGTTCAGTTACGAATCCTTTTACAGCCTGGTTTAAGTATTTTCAGCAGCTTTCATTAAAAATCATTCAGCAATAAGCATTCATACTACTTTTTTTTTTTTTTTTTTTTACAGGACATGCAATTTCTTAATAATTAACACACAATACTGCTGTACTTCAACATGACAGACTGATATCTGATTCTAGTCACACAATTTATAGAGTATTCATGTTTTCATCCACAGTCTGTGTTTACATGTACTGTATACAATAATGCATAGTAACGAAAAAGTAAACAATTATCAAACACAATTTTTTTTTATTTTAAAGCTGATGCTATACAACCTGTTCTGTTGGTGTGCATGCTATACCACCATTTGAGAACTGTTCTCAGGTTTCGATGTAAAGATCAAAACAGATCTAGCTACAGAATACTATTTGCTCCTGGGACTCCCAGTACCAAGAATCTGTTCAGTTTGAAAGTGAAATCTACGGGACGTTCACTGGGAGGTCTGTAGTTTCCTCCCATTGCTGAACTGAGGAGAGGAATGAGCTCGCAATTCTCTTCAAACAAGGCAAGCTTCTTTCTGTACATCTGGCGGTTATGGTGTGTGCTTTTCTGGTTGAAAGCTTAAAAGAATAGTTAGACAAAAATTAGAATAAAAAATAGAGTGACAGATACAAGTAAAATATATATGAAAAAACAAAACAACACATAAAATCTCTGCGGTCATTTTGATTGCTTGTAAAATTGTAATTTTTATCTGCAGCACCTGTGTTGCTCACCTTTTAAATAGAAGGCCACGTAGAGCAGAGCTGACCTTTGGATGCTGAGAAAGGGGTATTTTGGTTTGAGAGTCCCAACAGCTGTCATGGCCTTAATCACAGCGACTGCAACGCCCTAAAAAATATACATTTACCTCAAAGCAAATTCAATTTTACACTTTAAGTTTGTGTTGCAAGTTACAAATTAACGTAAAGTGGGGCATTTAAGTTTACCTGTTCCAGGTAGCTCAATGTGGGAAGGGAGGTGAGGGAAACGGGCACAGGAAGAGGAGGAACTTTATGGGGAAGCTTCTGGTCCCAGTAGGTTTCAGGAGTTCTAGTAAATATGTTGTAAAGAAAAAGAACAAATGTTTTCCGTGATTTCAAGATACGTTTGAAGAAGAAAATCTAAAATCAAAGCGGCACGGTGGTGCAGCTGGTAGAGCTGGTGGCTCTCAGCAAGAAGGTCGACAATTCAAATCCCAGCCCGGGACCTTTCTGGGTGGAGTTTGCATGTTCTCTCTGTGCATGTGTGGGTTTTCTCCCGGTACTCCGGTTTCCTCATGCATGTTAGGCTGATTGGTAACTAAATTGTCCCTGGGTGTTAGTGAGAGAGTGAATGGTTGTTTGTCTCTATGTGTCTCTGTGATGGACTGGAGACTTGTCCAGGGTGTACCCCACATTTCTCACAGTGATAGCTGGACATGGACACCAGTGACCCCATGAGCCGAAAAGGAAGAAGTGGGTAAAGGATAATGGATGGATGGATCTAAAACAAAGTAGGTTGTACAGTTTTCAATTGTCAAAGAAATACCTCAGAAATGTTTCCTGTTTCTCTTTTGTTTGAAAGACATAGATCCTTTCTCTGTATTCCACTGCATATTCCATTTTTCCTTGAACCAGAGCTTCATATCTAAAAAAAAAAAAGAAGACTTTTTATGGTTTTGCGAGGTGTTTTAAAAAAAACCACACAGTGATCAATAGTCTTGTATTTTTTAGTATTTTGAAATATATTTTTCATCATGGGGTTAATGTGTACCTTTGTTTCCCATCCATGTAAGTGACAGGACAGAAGCCCTTCATTTCAGCCTCCTGTGGGAACTTGCTCTTCACCTGGATCTCAGTCAACTTTCTTGGCAGCAGGGGGGGCTGTGGGAGGGCGTGGGGGCAGCTGGGTGCCACAAATTGATCAGGTGTTGACAGGAACTTCTGTTTTTGAGTAAATGCACATTTTTTTTCCAGTCACTGATGTATTATTTGCACATTAAGTTCATGGAAAAAACTAATCGCATCTATCCAGCTATCTCATTGTATGTAAAAACAACACAAACTTGGAGATTATATAATTAGCTTGTCAACTATTTGAACTTTAGCTTCTTCTGTGTGCAAGGACTTTCAGGACACTGACCTCTAGATGTTCTTTGCCACATAACTTGTAATAACGCCTCCTGTACTCTGCCGCGTGAGTCAAGGCTGCATTGTCTGAGCCGTCCACCAGGTGGTGCTGTAGAGCCAAGCAGACAGGACAGTACTGACCAAACTCTCCAAGCCTGCAGTTCAACTCTTTGGGGGTGATGCACAACCTATTGATGCTGGCAGCTTGTCCTGTTAAACAAACGTAAACAGAGTTGGAATTGTATATATAAGAGTCAAACCAAAACAATAAATGTTATACCAGAATTTGATCCCATGATTGTCGTCGGAGGATTTACCACTTTGTGTCTTTTCTAAGTAAGACTGGATATGTTTCATGCTGATGCTGACTTCCTTCATAATGTTGGTCCAGAGCCACCACTTGCTCTTTAAGCCATCAAGATTAAACCAGTTCTGATGCTGCTGTTGGAAGTATTGCCTTATGTGCTCCGCCTGCTTCTTATAACAGGAAGTGCAGCTTTTGAGGATGTCAGAGTTGTCATGCATCAGATAAGGCCTGTAATGATTGGGGGACAAGGTGATCTGACACATTTTGTTTGTAACTTTGTTATTTTAATCTGCTGCCCTGTAATTATGGTAGCCATTTTGAGGGTTATCTTACTTGTTGGGGTTCATCTTGTCTATTTGGCCTCTCTTTAGCACCTCCAACGTGTCAAGTTCAAGCTCTACCACCAGCATGGGGATGATTCTGTGAGATCCCATCAGTTCAGTCTGCTTGAGGGTCACCGGAAAACCATCCAGAACATATCTGAAACATTAATTAAGCAAGATATACTGATAAATACCCATGTGTAGGCTTCTTCATTGTTGCCAACGTGCTGTGTACTTCTTTAAACACCAAAATAAAGTAATTTATACCAAATATATAATCATTATAAATCCTACAGGTTCATGGTCTTACCCCTGAATGCTGCTGACTGAACTTAGGAGTGCCACCTCCAGACACTGAATGGCCAATTCATCAGGTATAATAAGACCCTGCGTAAGGTAGCTTCTCATCTGGTCTGCCAGATTAGTGTGTCCTTGATTGTTCAGTACCATACGCATGACACCACCAATGGACAGTCGAGCCAAGCCATAGTTTTTAGCAAGCAGCTTTGCCACTAAAAATACAAACAGAAGAATTAATACTCTCAACAAGAGAGTAAATCTTCTGCTGTTTTGCCTCTTACCTGTAGTTTTCCCAGATTTGGGAGGTCCAATTACAGCTAGTTTTATAGGGAGTGTAGGAGTGGGCTTTGGTTGGCGAAGGTATTTTAAGGGGTGGAGCATAAATTTGTTGAGGTTCTCAATGGATGCAAAAAAGTAGATATACCGACTGAGGAGGAGGGGATACATGGTGCTGAGAGGCCACGGCAAAGGCTGAATCATGTCTCTGTTTTCGTATAGCTGCAAATGAAACGATAAACAATAGGAAGGAAATTTAAAGTAATACAGACAAACTGACACTGTCTTTGCTCAAAATGTCACTACATGGCAGGAGACAAACTCATAGGTATTTCCTTAGAGTGGATATGCCTAAATTATGCCCACCTGGATGGGGTCCCAGCAGCCGAAGGCACTGTGAAGCTTGTAGGTGGAGAACAGCAGCTTCTGGGCGAGGCTGTATGAGATGGGCTGGCATGTTTGGAAGAGTGACTCCCTGTTGGTCAGCAGGGGCTGGATAATCTGGAGCAGATGATGCTGAATGAGGTGGAGCTTGCGTGATGCATTGATCACCATTTTGGGGATGTTATGCTCACTCAGGAGTTCCTGGTGATAAAATGAACACAGTACAGCCAATGCAACCACGGGAAAAAACACAAGGACTTTATGTAGTGAAACTTGCACTACACATGAAAAAGTAGGTGGTAACAAATTATCAGCGTTTTTACACATAAAGGTTGCTCTTGGATGGAATAGTTCAGATGCTTTGAAGTGGGGCCCTATGGAAAGGTTATGAATATCTTACTTGCTGTAAATATTTATTCAAACAACATCAGTTTGGAGAAATAATGTTTAATTTTGACTGGACTGGCAAGTTAACAGCTAGTCCAAGTGGGGCCAAGATCAAAGTTAATTGCTGCCAAATTATAATAACTTCAATATTTTTTTTTCATAGTAGTTGATGAAAAAACTTTATTAAAACCTTCACACCTTGGCCAATTTTTCAATAATTTGGCAGATATGTTCAAATATTCTTGCTACAACTTGACAAGGCTGCACTCAAACTGTTACAGCTAGGTGCTGTTGCCTCTACTTCAGTGTCCTTCTTAGTCCATCCATCCATCCATCCATCCATCCATCCATCCATCCATCCATCC